GGGCTGCCCAGGGAGGTGGTGGATTCACCATCCCTGGAGGTTTTCAAGGTGAGACTGGATGTGGCACTTAGTGCCATGGTCTAGTAACCACGGTAGAGTTGGACTCAATGGTCTTTGAGGTCTCTTCCAGTCTGGTTGATTCTATGATTCAAAGCAATATTCTTATACACCTTGCAATTAAGTACTTTTATCCTGGTAATTAGAGGCTTCCTGATTTATGACCGTATTTTCAATGCTAGATACAAAGGCAAGAGCTACCGTGCAACTGTGGAGGTTGTGAGGACAGCAGATCGGGTGGCAGATTTCTGCAGAAAAACCTGCATCAAGCTGGAATGTTGTCCAAACCTCTTTGGCCCTCAGATGGTGCTGGATAAGTGTTCCGAGAACTGCTCTGTCCTGACGAAGACTAAATACAGTGAGTAGTTTGCTAATCTCGTAATGAGGTGGAGCTTGGGGTGTTATGTTGTAGTTTCTTTTGGCTTTGGCTCCAGAAGGAATCCAAAGTGCATTGCTTTGCTCAAAGAAGGAGCAGCTCAAGCGCTGCACACACAGGCCTACAAAACATCCAGTTTATAGGGGAGAAAAATTAATTCTATATGAAGTGGTAGAACTGTCGTTTAACATTGTGTTGTGTGCTTAAAGCTTTTTCTTCTTAAGGCAACTTTTGGGACAAGAACCAACTCTAATATTGTCATTTGAGTGGCATTATAATTGCTTTTGCAAATTGCTTGTGAAACAAAATAAAATGCCTTAAAGCTCTTAGCTTTTAGGGTTTTTGTAAATTGACTTGAACTATTTGACACTGTGAGAACAAGTGAATTGAAGCCGTGTTTAAAAACTACAGAACATCACAAAAAGTGCCAATAAATTGGGCCAAATCTTTGGCTGATGCTTGTTGTATAAAATCAGATCATTTGGGCCTTCTCAGAAATGGAGGAAGTAAATCTTTACAGGGCAAACAAAACTGATTAGTAACTCTTCTTCCTTAATCCAAATTGAAGAGGAAGATACTGATATGGAAGTGTTGCAGAACTGGAATTCCTGTGGGAAATGTCCTTCTACTGGTTTTCCAGTCCTGACGATGGACAAGCATAACTAGTGGCCTTGAAGGTGCATTTCAACACGGTGCTCCTTTCTTCTGTCCCGGTAGCACACTATTACGGAAAGCGGAAAAACAAGCGGATAGGAAGGCCTCCGGGTGGCCACAGTAACCTGGAAGTAGCCATGAAGAAACCAAATAAAAGACGGAAGAGACGAAAACATTTTTTTGTTCATAAGAAAAAACGTTCTTCTGCATCTGTGGATAACACTCCAGCTGGGTCTCCCCAGGTATGACACTGCCAACAGTGTGAATAGGTATGGTGAACTTTGACCAGCTTCATTGGAAACAGCATATGTTAGCTCCTTGTACCATCAGGTTACAGCTGGCAATGGGTGGTAATTGCAGCTTTCCATTGGTTTTTATTTCATTGGTTTGGGGTTTTTTTCTACCTTTTCAGGGCAGTGGGGCAGAAGAGGATGACGAACAGGATGAGGTGGATGAAGAATCTCTGACTGAGGATAGTACCTCAGAGCACCAAGACGAATTGCTTGAAGAATCAGAGGTATCAGAGAAGAAATCACTGTCATCATCTCCTACGCAGAGTGAACTGTCTCATTCCCTGGCTCAGGACCGAGACAAACGGAAGAGGAAGCTCAGGACCTTTTCCTTTTCTGATGATGAAAATAAGCCTCCTTCACCAAAGGTAACTTGAAATGTAGATATCTGTTCTAGCTGGGCAAACACAACTATCTTGGGAGTGTTAGCCATCATGTGTGTGTTCTCATGCAGTACTCTGTTACCTCATAAAGGGGTTTGTGAGACACTACAGAATAATTCAAAATCATGATGTTTATTACGGTCATATTACAGGGCTGTAATAAAGACTAAACAGAAAGCTATAGACAGAATAGTGAGATTTCCCGGCTGTTAGCACTCCTCTTGGTTCAACTGGGGCAGTGATGTGGTCTGGACCAAATGCTGTACTTAGATCCCTGCTCTCTGGCTCTCACACTGTTGGAGCCTCCACCCTCAGCAGAATGTGTTTCTGCACATCTCTGCCAGCCATGAAACCTCTGCAGTTTGAGCTCTCATTAGAGCTTTAGTTCGCAGCTGAATGTTTGAGTGAGGGGGATTAGAGGGGAACGTTGGTTCATTGTGTATGTAATATTTTGGAAATTCTTTTGTGCTGGGTGGTTTGTCTAGGACATAAAGATGGAAGTTGCTGAAAAGCTGCAGCTGGACAGTAACCCTCTGGAGTGGAGCGTGACTGATGTGGTACGATTCCTCAAATCCACTGACTGTGCTCCACTGGCAAGAATTTTCCTTGATCAGGTATCATTTTCTGTCTGTTAAAATGTTGATTTTGTCGCTTTGCTTCTTATCCTCTAAGGAATCTTAAAGAGAAGCTAGTTTAAATTTTATAGGGTTCTGAGGAAACAAATGCATGTGCCTTTGGGAGTGGAGAGTTAAGGGAATGACCAGAATTTTCTCAGGTTTCTCAGTACTCGATTTGGTCTGTGGGGTGTCCAAATCCCAAAACTATAAGGAATGCTTACAGCCAGCACCATGAAGGCAGGAGCCTGTTTTCCAGAGTTTTGCCACTTCTGCTTTTCCATATGATAAATGTTTTCTATTTTTCAGACTACCTGTAGATATCACAGTGTTGTACAGCTGCACAAGTGAATGTTTTTATGTTAGTATGACAAATAGAGTGCAAACAAGTGTATTGCTTGCATATTGGTTCAAATTTGCCATAAAAAAAACCCATTGTCTATCAAAACTGTAGTACTAGAACTTACTTTGAGCATGTTTTGTGGTGGTGCATGTTCCAAAAAATGTGCTTCACCTTGTAGAACCTCTCTTTCTATAGAAAGATGCCATGGTTGGGTAAAATAACTTTCTGCATGAGATCTCTATGATTTCTTTTGTTAAGCTGATATTTTACAGTAGTATCTCATGACAGTCTGTCCCTCAGCCATTGCATTTGAGCTGACATTTTAAGAAGGCAGTTAATTTCTTGTGAGAAGGGTATTTTTAAGCTGTCTAGAGTAGCATGAAAGAAACATCCAATTCACAAATGGTCATGAAACTGAAATTAGAGTAAGTCAAAGCCGGGAAAACAGAAACAGAAAATCACTGTGGAATTTTTGCCTTCTGACAGGAAATTGATGGCCAGGCACTGCTGCTGCTGACCCTGCCCACTGTTCAGGAGTGTATGGACTTGAAACTTGGACCAGCTATTAAACTCTGCCATCACATTGAGAGGGTCAAACTTGCCTTCTACCAGCAGTTTGCTAACTGAGGAGCAGCCAAGTTGAAGTGGACCTTTGAAGCACAACTACAAAAACATGCTCCTTCCTCTCTACCAAGTAAAGCCAAATGAAGTTAAACTGAGGCCCTGATGACCTAAAAGCGTGTGTCAGCTTCAATTTTTCTATTTTGACAAAAGGAAGACAACATCTGGAGCAAAATGCCAATGCAAACACAGGGGCTACTCTGCCAGCTGCCAGCTCGGGAACACAATAGTCTCTTGCTCTATGGTTCCCTTTTTTTAATGTATTTTTTAATGATTGCAGAAAAGTCTCCTCTCGTGGGAAATGACATTTCAATAGTTCTGTGGCACAGAACTTTAAAAGGGGAAATGGATCCTGTTTACGATAGCATGTAGAGCTGCCAGAAATACCCTTTCTCTGTTCCTGGTGATTCACAGAATTCCCCATCCCTCCCTGTGGATGAACACCGGCTTTATCACAGCACTGACTTTGGAATGTGCTCTTTGCACATTCGTGTGTTACTGTTGAGTTTTTTAATGAATTTGTTCATTGTTAGGACAACAATGTGGCCACAGGGTTCTGAATGTACAGTATAGCAGGAGTGTGGTTCCTTTTGGAGGTTTTTTTTGTTCATTTTGGCTTTTTTGTTTTGTTGTTGTTGGGTTTTGGTTTTGTTTTTACTACCTCTGTAGCCTGAACAGTAGAAGCGATGAACTAAAAAGGGAGGGAACTACTCTTTCTGGACAAGTTGTCTGTAGCTGCACAGCAGTCTCTCTTCTGTAGGCATGTCCAGAGTACAAACCAATGTCAGCAGACAGAGCTTCTGTTCCAAAGCTTTAGCTGAAACCTGTGTAAGTGTAACCTGGATGTTATCTTCTTTCAGATGTCAGAAAACTTAATTATTTTGCACTTCTCTTACAGGCAGGCTGTAGGAAATAAGGAAGGAAAGAGAAAGTGCCTCTGCATTTTCTATATTTTGGTTGTCAGATTGTTTTATTTTTTTTAATTGTGTGAAGTTATTTCCTTTTTCTTCTAGCAGACAATTGGGCCATGTACATATAGCCTGTCAGCAGACTTTCGCTTTGCTACCTGAACACCTTTTTAGAGAACACACTAAGGAAACTGCGATCATTAGAGGACTGCAATATAGCTCTGCCAGTGTTTGCCTAATGGAAAGTCTTACGAGCTTGACTTTGTATTTTTAACTATCTACAAATGCTCAGGATCAGACTGGGTGAAAATGTGGTGGGTTGGGAAGGGATTTGTGTGCTTTTATTAGAGAAAAGGAAAAGGACCGGAGGGACATCTTCGTTCCATCAGTAGATTCGCAGTAGGATGAACTGCTGATTTTAATTTTCCAGGGTAATAAAACCTAATCAGCCACTTGCTGTAGCCTTGTGCTTTACACTTGAACAGGGCTTACATTACTTTCCATTAAAGGTGTGGGGAAACTTGCATCAGCTCAAGATCTGCATCAATAAGCCTTAGGTTTCAGATGGCTTTGCATTCATTCACTCTGCCTGGCCCCAGAGTATTTGGAGGAGCACAGGCAGGAGCTCTGTGTGTGCAGCCCTGGTCCTTTATCAAATGCATCTTTGCAGGAAACCCCTGGCACACAAAGGTGTTTGAGTTAGGAAAGTGGTCACTGCAGGAAGTGGTTCAAAAAAGACATTTACTGGTTTCTGATGAATGCTGGTTACTCTGGTTAAATGGACTGATTCAGCTGTCTCTTTGGCTTAATGTGATCAGATATTTCAATGCTGTGAGCTGTAGGATTTGGCAGAGAGGTGGCCTGTAAGCTGAGGGCTGAGCTGGCACAGCCTGTCTGTGCCTGCCACACTGGTTTGAGAGGGGGTGACCTCCAGTGAAAACTGTTTAGACTAAGCAAAGTGAAGAAATTGGGGTTTATTGCTTTTGCCCCTTGGAATAACTGCCTGGTCAAGGCAGAACTATTTACAAAAGTGTTAAAATCAGATACTGTTTTTTCCACTCCAGAATCAAAATGTTAACGTCAGACAGTTTGTTAGCTGAATATTCTTCAGGAGGGGAGGGCAGTGTGTAGCTAGGACAGTTTTTCTCCCATGTTGTGAGCAGAGTCTGAAAACATAATTAAATTGAAATCAAAGTGCCCCTTCTTCCTCCTCACACCAGATATGTGGCCAATAAATGGCTGTTTTGGCTCATCATATTGTGCTTAGATCATCTGCCTCTACTCCATTCCCTTAGGACAAACTCAGTGATAAGCCATTAGGCCTGAAAATTTTTTAAAAGAAACACTGCTGTTTTTGCTGTCAGCATCTTGTCTAGAGAAATTTTACCATCAGAGAACTTCTGGGCTAGAAGATGATGTGTTTGGATCAGTGCAATAGAATTTCCAGAGTTCTGTTGCCTTGGCCAAGAGATGTTGCTTCCACCTTTCCCCGTAGACAGATAGATGTCTTTTAAAGTAGTTGTCAGGAGAGAACAGAGCTTAAAGTGTAATTTAGTGAACCTGTTAACATGGTGCCTAGGGTTTTAAATACAAATGTCATACTTCTTTTTCTCAGTAAATAAAGCAGTCAGCAGTTTCAGCCCTTAGTGGGATACTTACTGGTCACCTTTGGCATGTTTTATAGGCTGGATTTTTCTGCCTTGTTTTGGGAGGCACTGACAGTCTGGTCCCAATGGGATCTATTTTTGTTGAGATTTTCAAAAGGGATGTTTTCATTATTTGTGAAATGTTTTTATGCTGCACACGGGTACTGTACACTCTGTTTCCTGGAGAAAATGCACTCTGTTTTATTGCTGGATTTAAAAGGGATAATTGGGGCTTTATCTTGATGGATGGAGTTTCTACTTGACTCTGTTTTAAGTTCCTCTTTCTCTATGCGTGGCCAATGACACAACTGCACTTAACTTGCTCATCTTATTCCAACGTGACTTGAAATCAGCTCATGCACTGCTTTAGTCACTCTGGTTCTTCAAAACTGGATTTTACGTAGCTGGTGGCTGAATCTTGGCTTTGGGTGATAGTGATGTTTCACCAGGAGGAATTGCTGGGACTGCAGTAACTTAGGCTTTGGGGATTTGCGCTGTCCTCTACCACATCATTCACCAGACAGTGTGACAAGGCTGGAGTCCAGGGGAGAGGCAGTGATGCCTTGCAAATGTCTTCAGTGCAAGAAAATGAACTCTCCAGTGGGCTTTATGTACTGTCCGTGTGGCTGGTAAAAGTTTACCTTTGGCTTGACTCATTGAGGGTTTGTATTCTTGCTTGTCATGCTTTCATATGCATTGTACAGCCTTGGGTTTGCATGTCACAACCTTTGAAACCTGCTGGTGCCACTCGTTCTGTGCTAAGCTTGGCCTTGTTAGGCAGGAAGGTTTGGTAGGTTACTGCAGTGTGCTCTCTGCTCCAGCACAAGGATTCTGTCATAGAGAAACATTCAACCTCCAAAAATGTCATGGAAGGTTAATGTGGTAGAATGATCCCCCAAAGCATGAGCAGCTTGCAGTCCGTCCTAAACTGAAAGCAGTCCTTCCGGAAGAGGAGAGGTACAGCACTGATCTTGGTGAATGAAGACTACTTTTTTCCTAATTATAAACATTTCTGAAATTTCCTCTTTGAGGAATGAAATGAAAGGCGGATTAATTTCTGTGTTGTATAGAACTCCAGGAGTGTTTGCAGTCTCTCCCGGGATTAATGGAAGCCGTACATACAGAATTCGGGAGTGGGTTTTAAGATTACTTTCTCTGTCACAACTTTTTAGCAGTATTTTGTTGTTGCTTTAGGATTTGCTGGTGTTTATTCTTTATTCCAGTGATGCTTTAAAGGAGGGAAGGAGTATTCAGCTGCTAGGTCCACAGAAGTGTAAATATATTTACAGTTGATTGGACTGAGCACTCCATTCTTCTATACAAACCACAAAGACTCGGTACGTAGTTAGCAAAAAGCCAAGTGGCTTGTGAGATTTTTGAATGTAATGGAATAGGCTTCAAAACTATCAATCTCAGACTGGAGACTGGATACCTTTGGACCAAATCTGTTGTTACTAGATGAAGTAGCCTTACCAGAAAGCCAAAAATACAATGATTCTATACAAAACTACTCCTTAACCAGTCCTGTCACAGAGTGGCAGGCTGGTTACTGCCTACTGTGAGCTCAAATTACCTAAAAGTAACTAAGCACAAAGACATAGGCTCTGTCAGGAGCCTTCAAATGTAGACTGAAGGCTCCACTGAAAGGGATTGTGTGCTGAACCCTAATTTCAGAGTGCTGCCACCCTTCCCCAAACATGCATGTAGCCTTGTTCTCAAAGGCAGCCTTTTGGGTGAAGGATTAGAATGAGACTTCGGAACACCAGAGACAAAAAGCCTCTTTTATTGTTATGTGTTTTTCTAAAAAAAAACCAATAATAACAATCTGTATGAAATACAAGAAGAATGAGTTAAGTTTAGCGATACTTTGTCTCCATGGTCATTTCTAGCTTCCTCAGCTTTGCATCAGTTGCCCTGAAATGCACCAGACAGGTAAATGGACTTTTGCTGAGAAGACAAAGTTACTGTGTTAGGTGCAAAGCCAGCAGTGTTTGGCTCAGCTTTAAGCCATGGCAGCGAGCAGGTCTTGCACTGACAAAATGGAGAGGCAGTAGGTCTGACTGACTTAGCACAAACATGGGCACAGAGCCCCTGGAGCCTCCTGCCTTGCACAGCCCGAGAGGAACAGGCCTCCTGCTTGAGGCACGGCACAGCTCGCTCCGCGCGGCACGAGCTGCGCTCCGGGCACAAATGAATTCTCTCCCACTCTGAAAGTTGTTGAGCACCAGTTTCCAAGAAACCTCATGGCAAAAAAAAATTAAAATCTGGAGGTGTAATGTTTCTCCTCTCCTCTTTCATTTCTTTGTTTTTTAAATTATTATTTCTGTTTAAAATAAATTTTAAATAATCTTTATAGACAATCAGAGGTCTTCTAGGCGACTCTGCCCTAAAGGGTACAAGCTGCCCACCTGTGGGCCTCTTTCTTATACTAACTCATTGGAACTGATGCACT